TATGAAGGGGGAGAGTAGGAGTTTAGACTACAGCTCATATGCAGAAGGAGAATCCGTAAACAAAGGGCAGAAGGAAAGGTGAGCATACTCCTGTTCCAAGCATGCCTGTGCCCCATAATTGGGTACCCAGACCCCCAAAGGGATCTAAAATTCAGATCCCCTAGAGCCATGTGGTAAATTAGGATTATGTAGGGGTTGTAATGGGTCTATATAGGGGAATTCTTAGAGCCTCCCAGAGGTCTGGGTAGTGGTGATTTTGGCACTTGGTAAATTGAAGTACAGGTTCGGGGAAGTATGCGATTGTTGTGTACTCGGACTCCTACGGCTATAGGATGCTAAGAGCTTTGACGTGACACGTTGAAGCATCCGATTCTTTTGTCGGGCCTTCGGCTGGAATTCGTTAAACTCTACTGGGTAGGCCCCTGGGATATTTAATATTTTCCCTAATGGCTTTAATAAGGGACCCTATATACTAATATTTTTCAAAGGGTTTTAGGGGTCAACCCAGTCTAGATCCTGCCAAACTCTTCAAAAGCAACGCCCAGAACTTTACCACTGTACCTCCCTGATCCTGGGCTGAAAGCCTCCTGAGCCTTTTGTCCTCCCTTAAAGTAGATAGAATATGGGGTATATGGGTATCTTATTAAGATATACCCATATTCTATCTACTTAAGGGGGAGCCTACAGGTGGACGGAGCGCCGCCCAGAATGGGCAGTGGCACTTCCGATTTCCAGGCGCAGTGTTGAGGGTTTCGGGGTTCAAGATTCAGGGGGTTTTAGGGTTTCGGGGGGTTATGTAGATCCCTGATTAATAAACCCCCTCCCATTAGTAGAGATTATAATAGGGATCCTAAATCCGAAGAATAAGGCCCTTAAAAGGAGGGGGTTATTAGTTAGGGTTCTACATGAATTGGCTTTAATGTTAGGATCCTTATTATGATCCCTACTAAGGGAAGGTGGTTTATCAATCAATCAACTGACCCAAAGGCTCCTGGCATTGCCCTTCAAAGCGTTACCACGTCCCGAACTACCGTAACTGACCCCGTAACTTACCGGGGGGCTAGTAATACGTTACATAGGGCTTATATAGGGGTAATGGAGAAGACGCCGGAAACTACTACATTACAATTGGGGAAATATTGGGATTAGATTAAGGGATATGAGAATATGTTTACATAGGGCTTACATAGAGATTCTATACCCTCGTTCCCCGCTAACCACCAGTAAGCTAAACCCAAAAGCCCACCTAAATGTAAACCCGAGCTTCCCCTCAACCCGAAATCCCCTTCAACCCTGGACCCCACTAGCAATGTCTTTGTGACAGCCTACCAGGACCCTCCCTGTACCCCTGTCTAAGCTCTTAGTATCCCCCTGAAAAACCACTATAATACTTCCTTATGTAACCCCCGTTAGGGAGTTCAGGGCCTAAACCCTAAATCCTAAACCCTGAACCCTTATGTGAACCCCTTGGACTATAGCTCATATGTTCCCTATCTAGGGTATATGGAGGGTAGATGGAGGGTCTAGGTCAAAGCGAGGCCCAAGTTGACTGTCAGCTCCCTTGTGAGACTTTTGTTTTTTTTGGAGTTGCTTTGCTTTCTTCAGAGGGTCGGGTGTAGGGGTTAGGGTTGAGCTTGGCAATTCAAAGCGACCTCACCCGACCTCACCCTAAATGGTAGATTATATGGGGAAGGGTACCAAAATGGCCTTAAATTGGGAATTGAAATTATTCTACACTGGTTTAGGGTAGTTTAGGGGTTGATGTCCTATACTACCACACCCTACACTGCCAAGCCCAGACAGGACGTACATGAGCATCCAGAAACTCTAACTCAGCCTCTTTCGGGTCTTATTTTGGGCTGCAAGGGTTCAGGTAAGGTAGAAATTTTAACAGTTACCAGCGTTAATCCTTGGGAGTTGCCAGCAGGAGAAAAGTACACCCAACATCTGTATTGCAATGATTCAGGTCCCTAAGTCACAATTCCTATCCGAAACCCTTTCATGTAACAACTGGTTTCTCCACTATTCCTAAACATCCCTAAGCATTAAACGCTCCACAAGATCCTATGCTGTTGGCCTCGGCCATGCCAGCTTCTCAACCCTGCGAGGGCCCTGCCCGCGCGGCGTCACCTGTGCCGGTGGCATCCATTGCTATGCCAAGAGCCTCTCAGCCGAATGTTAGAGAATTAAACAGAATAGAAAGTGGAACATGAAGATTTTGGGAATCCTGGTCTACGGGCTGATAAACAAAAGACCCAAGTTCTACCCGGGCAATGCTCAAAGAATACAAATAACAACAAAATTTGCAATAGTCAGATAGAATATCACTTATATCAGAATATACTTGCCAGTGACAGCCCTTCGGACATGTTGCGCTCGCAGCTGAGGATGTTCCAGGGCTCCGGGGTTGAGGGTTTAGGGTTCAGGGTTTGGGGTTTAGGCTTTGGGGTTTAGGGGTTCGGATGGTTCAAGGTTTAGGGTGAAAAGATAGGACTACGAAGGAATTGTGGAAGGAGCAGGTGAGATTGATAGGTTCGTTGACTTTCTGCCGACGAAGATACTAAATTTTAAGCTTTTTGGCAAAGAGCCTCTGAGATTGACAGGTTTGTTGGCCGTTTGCCCTAAACCCTAAAACCCTAAACCCTAAACCGATGCTTGGGTGAGCAGTATCTTGTAACGGGATATGAGGAAGAGGAGGAAAGCCTAAGAGGCCCTGCTACAGAGTACGAAGGTGGGAAAAGACCTTAAGCAGTTTGAGTAGGTTTCGGGGTACGATACATATTTGGGGTTTAGGGTTATACATATGTATACATATGTATATATATAGGTTGTGGTCATATAAGGATCGTACGGGATCCAAATAAATATTCTTGCGCGGCCTCACGGCGCCAGGTATGCGCATGGACTCGCTGGCTACTTTTGCTTAACTGTCTTTCAGAAGGTTCCCATACCCGCTGGTAAAAAAAATCGTTCTTTAGCGCATATTGCTGTCCTCTTGAGTCAAGTAAGACTTCAAACGCGTAAGTCACTTCAACCCCTCATCCCAAACCTTCCGTGAATGTTGAGCACCACGTCCTTAAACTCTAAACCATAAAGACCAACGTCTTACATTGCAAGCCCTAGAGAAAGTGAACTGTGAGCCCAATTTTTTACTTCCCAAGCCCTAGAGACATTACACTCG